TTTTTTTTTTTTTTTGGCATTTTAAGTTCTTGGTTTTTCGTTTTAATTTACCGGGTCTCCTTCAAATTAAAAAAGAAATAAAGGGTTTTTTTTGTTTATATTTTATGAATCTAATTTCTTCTTGGTGTGAAGGGTGACTGATATCTTGGACAAGTACCATGGCCAGGCTGGGAAGAAGTTATGGGATGCCAAGCATGAGGTTTGATACTCTCTCTCTCTCTCTCTTCATTTTTGTGCTTTTTGCTATCAAAGATCTGCTGGGTTCTTCCTTGGGCCAGATGGAAACTAGCATGATTTTTTCTTTGCTAAAAATATGTCAAGAAACATGAAGTATGATTTCTATGAGTAGATCTACAAATAGGATGTACTAGTTGCTCTCTTTCTCTGGCTCTGATAGTTTTTCTATACTTCTTTATTGACAAAGAAAACTGAAACTATGTGAAATGTAACATCCATGAACAGATCTGGTAATAAAATGTTTTTCTCTCCCTTCCTTTTCTTTGCAAAAAATTCAAACAACTGAGTGCATATATAAGCATGTCTCACAAATATATAAGAAACGTCTTTTCTTGATATAAATATACATATAAAATCTCTCTATGTACCCTTTGGTTCCTTGACTGATACAAGCATATAAACCGGCTTATTATACACACTTTTCTGCTAACAGATCTGCATATGAAAATAGACCCTTTTACATGGGTTTGTATATTTCTTTTAATACTAAATTATAATGTTTATATTTTGTTTTCCTTAATAATTAAACTAATTAACTATGAGGGTTTGCAACAAATGTCATAAACTCCTGACAGAACCTCAGCAATGAAGTGGATAGAGTCAAGAAAGACAACGACAGCATGCAAGTCGAGCTCAGGTAGTTTAATTGCACTCATCATCATCTCTCTCTCTCTCTCTGTGTGGAAATGTTTAAGTATATATGTATATATATATATATTGCTGTTGCAGGCATCTGAAGGGGGAGGATATCACATCTTTGACCCACAAAGAGCTGATGGCCTTAGAAGAGGCACTTGAAAATGGCCTTGCAAGTAACCGGGACAAGCAGGCAAGTCTTGCGCAATAATATAATTTCTTGTGAGAGAGATTCTGCTATATATATAAGGTTCTAACTAGTTATTTTTTGTTGCCTTTTTGTCACAGTCCAAGTTCGTCGGCATGCTCATAGAAAATGTATGATGATTAATACCTTGAGTTTATTTAAATTTACTTTTTAAATTATGTCACAACAATAGGCATGAAGTAGTAATGCATGATAATATATGATATCATGTGCTATTTTTGCCTAACTTTTTGCATTGTTTCTGTGCTGGTCTCAGGGAAGAGCACTGGAAGAGGAGCATAAGCGCCTCACTTATGAGCTGGTAAACTCATCGTTAAAACTGTTCAGGATATATACACACACATATATGTACACAGGCACAGCATGCATCAAGCAAAGGGTTTGGTTTATATAATTACACTGTTAATCACATCACAAAGAGTTTTAATCAATACAAAACTATTTTATCACATCGCAGATCACATCTCTAATAAAGTTCACCCACTTCCCGATCTATAGACATGATGCGCACTACTAGAAAAAGGGACAAAACTCACGGATCACCTAGCCGCAGTGCACAAACAATGTCCGTTATTGGTTCAATATATTGAGAAATGTTAACCTGATTCAATTGTTGTTGACCAGAGATTAACATGATCATATATACATGTCCATTTTATGCATGCATGATACTAGTATATGCAAGTTTTGGTGTATTTTATTCATTTGATTGTGCAAGATATTGAACACATATCATACATGCATGGTTCAACTACTCAGGTTTCACCTGTAATATTTGTTTCCCTGTCAACCACATTGATGGAATTTTCAGAATAGGGGCACGGTTTTGATGAGCAAGTTTATTACTAGCATTTGCAGAATTTGCAATTATTTTTATCTTAAATTTGTTTATGCATTGAGGAAAAAAAAACAACAAAAACAACAAAAATAATACTAGCAGCAAACTCATCAGTTTCATACATAAATGATATAATCTTTTGTTTAATTTTGCAGCACAAACAGGAGATGAAAATTGAAGAGAATGTGAGAGAGTTGGAAAATGGGTATCATCAGAGGTTGGGGAACTACAACAACCAGATACCGTTTGCCTTTCGTGTTCAGCCTATTCAGCCAAATCTGCAGGAGAGAATGTAATGCATCTATATCTTCATCTGTCAGGAAATGCTATCAACTTTCCATGGTTTGTAATAGTAGAAGCTTTCGTATTAAGCTAAGTAATTTGTGAAACTTGTAATAATTAAGGTGTGTGCATGAACTTTGTTTGTGGAATAATCACTGTTTTGTTTGCTACAAAATTACCTAATTATATATGTTTGCCTATATATATATATTTCTGTTCATCTTGCTCCATAGCGACCCCAGCTAGGTCTAAATCATACTATAGAAAGCCTACACATGTAATGCACGAAGATGGAAGTTATGGCAAAGGGGAGAAAAAAAGAAAGGATTTGTGGGAGTGCCAAATGAATATTGAGCATATACGGTAATAGAAGGCAAATAAAGATAAGAAAATATACTAGCTAGATAGAAAGGCCTAAGGCCAAACAAAATATATGCTGTATTTTTTATTTACAAATATATATATATATATATATATATATTATCAATGGTATAGCTCGGTTGGTTGAGCTCTTCCACTCCACTCATCACCCATGTGGACAGAGGTTCGAAATCCCTAAGCACCCAATGAATATTTGTGTGTAACCCCCCTTCCCAATCGCATATACTCAAAAAAAATATATAATCAATAACTTGAAAGTTAGGCTCCAAAACGGTCATAATGTACCTTTTCAAAGTCTCTATAGTGGCCAGTAAATTATCCTTATTTTAGTTTGGATGCGCTACCTACTGCACTCGAGTTCGAATTTCCCTCTTTTTAGATTATATCAAAATATAATATTTCTTGTATAAAAAAAGAAAAGTAAGTGGCTGAACAAGTTTTCAAAATTGATCTCATTCTTATTTTATAATTCTTTTTTAGTCTAGTATGCCTAGAAAATAATACTAAGTTGGAAACTAACTTTTTCAGCATTAGGAAGTTTCTTTTATCAAATCAAAACTCTCTAAATCGTACATGACCAGTACAAACCGAAGTCAATAAACACGTCTGTGCCGTTTTCCAGTTTATTCATGAATTTCAAAGGAGCCAACACTTGCAAGCCCAAATGTCAAAGCGACGTCACCATCGGCAGCGGGTACTTCTGTAATTTAAGTTGGTCAAAGTTCCCTTAACATGAACACAAAGAATATGCTTGTGTGCTTCGCATACTTAATAAATTAATATTTAAAACTTTCTTCTTAACTATTGCACAACCACCGGTAATAAATTTGTTCTGTAAAACCCATATATCACTAACGATGAAGCATTAATTGTTTAATAACTTAATACAATGCTAATCACTTATTTTGATTCACTCTATAATGCAATCACATAATTATAACAATTAGCTCCTCCTTCAAGAATTATCCTTACAAAAATTCACCTAGATCGAAAATCTTTTAGCAATTTTGTTCTTACTGTGAATATTTTCATTGTTTATCACAATGATGTGTCCGTCTGTTTATTTTATCATAGTTAAATAACGAAACGATTTTTTAGTTGATGTGAAATTTTGTAGAAGTGATCTCTAAATAAATATATGAACAATAAATGGTTCATATAATATTATACATTGTGGAGTAAGCCCACACAGTGATTAGTTTTGTATTAACTTACTACTAGTTATCCCTTGATCTCTCTCTATGAGTTCCAAAGAAAAACTCCAACGAGGAGGAGGAGGAAGAAGCGTCAATGCCCCTCTTTCCTCTTATGTTTTCTTTCCCTTTATTTTGAATTAGTGAATAAAGCGTTTTCAACAATCCTAAACAACAATATTAATGTATTAAAAATTAATGCAAGACATTTGTTTTCAACATTAGTTTCACAATGACCATTATGTATCCATAGTTGATGTACGATATTTGTTCTTAATGATCGTCCAAAATGCACACAATCGTAATCGTTTATAAAGTTTAACTAATCTAGTATAACATGAACACAAAGATTATTCTTATGTGCTTCACATACTTACAAGTGTATATCAATAATTGATGTAAGAGGCTTGTTTAACAATCGTGTGATCACTTAAATGATTGTTTGAAGTCCAACTTCAACCTAGGAAGTGTAGCAAAGTGGCTCATGCTATTGCCCGTTTTGCTTTACATGAATAAGATCCTTATTATTGATTAGAAGAAGGCCTTGTGTGACTAATGAATTGTATTATTGATGAACTTATTATAACCAATACTTCTGCTGAATGAAATTTACTTCTTTTCAATAAATAAAAAATGGTCGTTGTATCAATAATTAATGACATGGATTTAATTTTAACGGTTGCTATATGAACAACGGTTAATGTAAAAGCATCTACCGATGATTAACAATCGCCCCCATACCAATAATTAATTCATCACGTCGAAAATTGTTTTTAAGATTCACCTAACATGTTATAATATGAACAAAAGAATATTCTTGAATACTTCACATGGTTAAATGCACCAATCATTAGATATTTATTTTTAACGGTTATTCAAATCAACCGTTAATGTATGTGAAATTTACACACATTCATAGTTAACGATCTTGTTATAAGCAAATATTTTCAATATTGTTTCCATCTAAACAAAGGAAATTACCCTTAACAATCAGTCAAATGGACTGATTAACAATGCTAATATAAGTGAAAACCTATACAAATCCGTGATGAACCATCGCTGCATAAGCAAATTCTTTGCAAGATTCTTTCCCAAATGAAAGAGGAAACCCTTTTTAAAAATAAAATAAAATAAAATAAATGAAAAAGGAAAGAGAAAAAGTTTCCGCAACCGATAAATAGTTGGTTTGTGTGAATGGCGTAAGTGCCCTTAACTAGGACAGCTGTCCTACAAAAAACCAAGCCCTACCCCACAAAACCGAGGAGGGTGAATTGGTATAGGGCGAAATCGTCCATCAAATTGATAAAAAGCCGTCCCTCTCCCGGTCGGAGCCTTCTGCAGTTCTATTTTATCTAAGTTTCTTTTCCCCCTTTAAACCG